GTTTTCAGTGACTAGCAAAGTGTTGTACTAAGATTTGTGTGATGTTGTTTTACCTGAACCGCTGTACAGTGCCATGTACACTGGAGGTCAAGGGCAAGATGTGCTTAAATGAGTGAAGGGAACGCAAGTGGCTCCTGCCGCGAAGTCCTTCTTTTTTAAGCTGCACACAGGTACATTATCTGTCAGGAAATTTGAAGCAGGCCATGGCTTTTACTCAGTTTGGGGGACAATTTGACTTATCTGTGAAAAACCGGAAAAATAGACCATGTTTTTTTAGATTGCTGGGAGGGAGTATATTTTTGAGAGGTACTTCAAAGGACGTTAAAGAAGCAATTACCTTTAAAATTATATGGTATTAGATTTCTGCCGATAATGAACGAAGAGGCAATGCCCTTTGATTTGATTATGCTGCGTGAACTTCACTGCTTATGGCAGGGCCTGTTTGGCTGGTTTTTATTGCGATCAGGATGCACGGCCTGCACGAATGTATTTCCGTGAATGTATGACCAAGCTTGTTGAACTGCAGAAAACTAAGGAGATTCTACCTGGGTGGTTGTCAAAAGTAGAGCCCTTGGCAGCACCTAAGGAATTTTAGTTTCTTTCGGATGGTTACTGCTTTCTTTGCGTGTTTATGGTTTAATGTACGCACCTCTAAACAGACAATAAAGCAAAAAAATGGCGCAGTAGTGAGTGTCTGCGAATGGCAATCCGCAGGCTGAACGCTCGATCCTTCATGGTGGCCTGTCATTTTTTCGGGATGGGTATTTTTGCATCGCTTTTATAACATTCTTTTTCTTTTTTCATGTTTTTGTGGGAGCTTGTCATGGTGATTCTGACATCATTTCGTGCTCAAGCGTTGCCAGCACTGCAGCATCTGCCTTATCTCACCATACACCATGGTGGACGTTTTCCAGCGTTTACCCACTACATTATTCCACTTTAATGATGAGTGGTACTTTACACCATGCCCACCATTCGTTTTTTTTTTCAATAGGGATTGGTAGTGCGAGCACGTGCGGCTTGCAATTTTTAGGGGAGTAGGTGATGCGATGAGACATGAGCGTCGCAGAGTTGATGAATCGCGAGTGATTAAGGGATCTACGTAAAACAATCTTATAGCAAAGAGAGCCTATCGATGCGGCGGCGCAAAAAACTATCTGGAAACTCAGTCTCGCGTTAGAACAATACTATTTTAGTCCTCTGAAAAAGGAATGAACCTGGTTGAATGATCACAGCACACTGACGCTTATTCAAGTAAAAAAGTTCAGTTAAACTTTACATTTATTCATACAAATGAAAATATATCACGACTGAAACTAACAAAACCAAATAAATAATGAGGTAAAAAGAGGCATGACACGTCGTATGAAGCATTGAAAAACAGAATTAAGTGTTTCACTCATGCCGTCATGATTGCAAGCAGCACTTCCACTTCTATGTTTCAACGCACAGAAACACCCGATGAAATAGACGGGAAAACTGGCGCTGCCCTAGATTAATTGTTAGGCATCAAGCACGATATTTAGAAGTTATCCGTTTGGTCCCTGTTAATTGGTAAGTTATCTTTCAGTCCACTTCCTGTTTTCTTCATTTTAACTGAATAGCGACCATACCTTCCTTGGCGCCACTTCGTATTGGGCAGCGTCTACAGAGCATGTATCTGCCTGCTGCGCATGCGCATTAAGCAGAAGTGCCTCCAGCTTCAATTCCCTGACAGTATTGAAAGTTGGATGCATGTACCTCAGAATCGGGCTTATATGTGATAATAGCATACCGCACAAACCCAGAAAGCTGAACGCTCGTATTTATTAACGTTGTTGGACTGACGTTGACCTCAGCCAGGCTGGCTCTTCTGGCCGCCGTACACGCGAGTGCTAATGTGAATAGTCTGCTGTGCTTCAATAACTTCTTATAATTTTCGACGCCGAATCCTGCTAAGTTGCAAGGCTTATTAGGATGCACTGCGTCATGGATTTTTTCTTCAAAATGGCCGACCGAGCTGCCACAACACAAGAAGGCGATGCCATGTGCATATATGGCGCAGCTGATGCTCTTCAGTTGCCCAATTTTGCGCGCACTGGGATTTGCCCTCCTGAACTTTTCTTGAAATTCTTCGTTATGAACCTGGTCAGCTTATTATTTTCGCGTTTCTGCCATCTGTTCATCAAGGATACATTTCACAAGGCTCATCAAAACGCGGAGGATAGCCTAATTTTCTTTAAGCCCTCCTGTTCTGATATCCTTGCAATGAGTCTGATTACTCCCGCAGCATGCCCTATATGGCCGTGTTGACCACTAACTTCGATCATCATGCTTAGCACCGGGGGGAAATGAATCCTGGTGATCTCACACCCAGATGACCTTCGCAATTTATTGCCTCTTCGGGAGGCATCCCAAAGATGCCTTGGGTCTTCGAGTGGAACGCTGTAGTACTAATCTGATTTAGAAGGCGAGGGCCGCATACCCACGTTACTGACGAGTTAATCTACGCAATGGACTGCGTCTTGTATTTTTTCTTCAAAATGGCAGTCAGACTCGCCATAGCACCAGAGGGTGATGTCGTAAGCATATCTGGTGCCGCCAAGGCTCTTCACTTGCTCAATAGCGATGGCCAAGCCAAGCCCTGCATAACTATGTTAATAAAGAGGGGCGAGATAACAGACCCCTGTGGCGTACCCCTTTGCCAGGTGTCATACCACTCCAAGCTAACGTCACCCAGTTTGACCATGGCCCCCTTACCTTAGAGAAAGCACTGTACGAATCCCTCATATTTTCAACTAAATCAAAGCAAGAGATGAAGTGTAGAATACACCTATGGGATGTATTGTTGGAAGCCTTCTCAGACCGAGACCAAAACTGGCTTGCGTGTATCCAGTGGCTGTGTTCTAAATATCATGCTTGATCTAAAGCATTTAGGTCTGTACGGAGAGGTATGGCCAGAAGTCTATTATGTTGGTTGGGCTCTCGTCCTCAATGTGCTTAGAAAACCGATGAATGATCACATGCTCTACAACCTTGTTTTCATTTTTCTTCTTTCAATTGTTTTTTGTTGGACTTGGCAAGTCTTCTTTTAACTATACAGTGGGGATTCAGCACTTTCCACCAAAACAGCAGCAATATCTTGTCCTCTATTTTATGTTTTTACTGTTCATTCTATTGACCTTTAGTTGTGTGTACAAATACTTGGTCGCTTCTTGTACGCCCCCATTTCACTCTAGCCAGCAAATCTTAAAAACCTCTAGAAATTCATCCCCCTTTTCCTCTCTGACCATGCAGAAATGGTTGCATTCTGCGTATTTTAATATCCTGGGAAGATTTCTGCCTACCTACAACACTGTACTAACGATAAGATGAACATTTCTTAATTCTACTCCCCTGTTAGCCGAGAGTAATTCGCCTGCTAACCCCACAATTGTGAGGTCTCGAGTTAAATCTGTAGGAAGACGTGCGGCGTCTGGTTTTCAACATATTTTATTTATCCCTGCTCTGGCATGGACATCCACAGATGCTGTCGTTCTTGCTGGTGTCTTCTTCTGTCGTGCTTGCTCGAACACGCACAGCAGCTCTTCTCCGAGACGCTGACCACTTGCCACAGCCCCCCCCCCCTCTCTAGCGAATTAGCTCGTGCACGAAGAAGCGAACCCTTTGAGCAGGTTGTAAGTTCTGCCGTTACGAAGCGTGTTTGCCTCATAGAGTTTCCTACAATACTTACTAGAGGGAACTCTGGCGCTAGTGTCTATGGGAGCTGCAACGCACGACGCTTCAGCGAGCATGGGAATGATGGGTAGTACACACATTTGTCTAATACTCGTACTTCTGGCCTACTTCTGGCTCCCTGTGTGTTCGTGTGGCTTGGAGCTGTTTTTTCACGAAAACATAAATCAGCAATTGTTCACCGTTTGCGCTTCACAACCTTAATTTTTATGCTTACCATTTTGAACCAAGTCAGAAAGTTCAAAAGGGTTCGTTACAAAATCGTAACCAGCAATAAACGAAGCCATAAGTACGATTCGCCGCCTGCAAGTACGAAGACTAGGCAAATGTGTGTAATACCCATCAATCTCATGGTCACTGAACGAATGCAGCGCCAGAGAGCCCTCCAGTTAATTTCGGAAAACTCTATGGTTCATCCGAATTTTGCTGATGGCTAGTAGTCTTCGAGGACGGTGTCAGAGTCGAGGAAAGCCGGCTTTATGCGGTCCATGGAAACACTGTCTTCGCGTCCATTAAGCAACAGAGCGAAGTGCTTGGGGCAACGCTTGACGGCCTTAAAAGGTAGACCTAGGCGGGGAGACACTGGCATGATCTTGCACGATGCGCAAATGGTGGAAAATTTGATGTCACGCCTTGATTTGTGAGGAGGGTCTCATAACCCACGAAAAGGATATGCCGTAGGCCTACCACAAGCTTAAAATGCTAAAGAAAATTTGCACCGGTGATGGGTACACGCACGTCGGGAATTAAGATTATCCACTGAAATGTGCGTCTCAGGCCAATGTCAAGCGTTACAGACCTCTGTCCGTAGGTCCATATTGTCGAACCTTTGACCGCTGTGGCAGGCGGCGAAGTCTGGCGCCGTCGGCGCTCCTCCAACGTAGGAGGAACGACACACACTTCGGCACCTGTATCGACGAGGTAGCGGACTTTTGTGACGCAGTCCGTGACGAGGATTAGGCGGCTGTATGTCGGGTCTGAAACACTGGCCGCCGTTAGTGCGTGGCCCGTGCGTTTCCCGCAAACTAGCTTGGCTGTTTGCACTGACAATCCCGAGCTCCGTATCGGTGGTGGTACCAGCAGACGCTTGAAGGCATACTAGGCAATCTTTCGCAACTTTGGCGCCATTGTCGTGGCGCGTTGCGGCGTTGGTCTACCTTGAGTGCGCTCAGTTGAGTGGCAAACTGATCCACCATGCGCTTGAGCTCCTTGTTAGCTTCAAGAAGGCGGTATAAGTGGTCGTCGCGGATCGGTGCCGAGAGAGTAGATTCACGTGGTCTCTCGATTCAAGATAATGACGGCACACCGATATCCATTATCTTGTCGGCGATCCACGCTAGCGAGTCGAGGGTATCTGTAAACGATAGGCTCAAAATCATCCGCACCTGCTGTGGCAGTCGCTGTAGGAAGAGTTTGCGTAAGATGGATGCGTCCAATGCAGCAGAGTGGTCCCCAATCAGGTGTCGCGTGCGAAGCAGACGCTCCCTAGGCGTTCGGTCACCTAGTTCTTCCGAAGTGAGTAGCTGCTGCAGCCTACACTGTTCCGACTCAGTTGTGCAGTGTATGAGCTCGTCTTTAAGTGTGTCGTAGGGGTTGTCAGGGGGTAAAGAACACAGAATGTCTCTTAAGATGGCGATGACCGCAGGTAGGAAAGCACCGATGACGTAACTGTACCACGCTGTTTGCGATGTTATCTGGTGTCGTTGAAATAGTGGCTCGACGCTCAGAAACCACAGTACAGATTCCGCCTGCCAAAACTCCTGGAGCCTGAGAGTAGCGATAACAGGGTCATGTACCATAGGATTTAGCGTGGTGTCGCTGTTGGGTGTGGTGTCCATGGTCAGCCGAAACGAACAGCGCTGAAGAAGCAGAGTTGTTCGTGACGCTCGGTGCGTTGACGAAAGGCCAACAACGTGCGCGTTGCCGCTTGAAGTCAGGGTCAGTGCTTACAGGAAGAGGTGCTGCGTTTGGTTTCCTACATATTTTATTTATCCTTGCTCTGTCAGGGAGGTCCACAGATGCTGTCGTTCTTGCTGGCGTCTTCGTCTCTCGTGCTCGCACGGGCACGCGCAGCAGCTGAGGCACAACTTCTTCGTATTCTCCGAGACGCTGACGTCTTGCCATAGATTCTTTGACATGGAATTATCAATAGTCGTGGCAAAGTGAGAATTGGTGAGCAACCTGAGACCAAAGTCCGCAACGACCAGCCAGAGATCTTCAAAAGAGTCGACTCTTGGGCAAGTTAGTGCTTTGACATAGAAACCACCGTCTTAGCGCAAGAAAACACGACACACAGGAAGAAACAGACGAGGATAGATGCAAACTCCCAACTGCCAACAACCAACTGAGTTGGTAGTTTGAGCGTGTTCTCGCCTATCTCTTTCTGTGTGTTGTGTTTAGTCGCGCTCTCACTATGGCTTCTTAGGCGTGCCAGCGGTTCTCGCCTTTTCATGGGGTGCGTATGTCAAACTTCACGTTCGATGTTCACGTTTGATGTCAAACTTCACAAAAAAGGGAGGCCTTGGCCCTGCTTCGCATAAAAATTGTCTTCGCCAACAATGAAGGGAAACACTGGTGTCACTATATAAGATAACTGCATACAATTAGAATGAATGCGCTAGTTTTTACCTCGCTACTCATACCTTCGCCAAAAAGGTATTCTGTATTGCACCTGCCCATCTTTAGGTCATATATTTTATAAAATTGTGCTTAATAGAATCCAAGCTGCCAACCTCACTATACTCCATCAGCTCCTTTTTTACGTACGATCTATAGCCCAACTAAGAAACACTATTCTCTATACCTCTTATAAGAAGATAATCAGCAGTCTTGAATCTCTCGATCTGAGGCACGGCTGTAGGGCAGCCTTCTTTTTGAAAGAAATCACAAAACCTTTATTACCAGATCCAAATTAAGTGCAAATACTGTTACTCGCTGGCAATATGGAAGTGATGAGCTTACTCAGCCAGGTTATATTACGGGGCTCCCGCAAAGAGGTCCGCATAAATCTATCCACTGCTTGGCACCCTTTTTACCTCCCAGTTTCAATAGGATAGAAAGGTGGACTAGTTGGTAATTCATGATGGTTCAGCGAACTGGGAGCGTGGGGGTAAACACAGACACAAAGCAAAGAGGAGGCACACAGCACGAGCGCTCAAATAACAACTGGTTTATTCTCACGTTTGAAGGACATATAGGTACACAAGGGTGCGCATGTCAACAGAAATAAGATGATAGTGTGAACAGCAAGCGTGGCGTTCATTCGAAGCACTTGTCTACGAATTATGAATATAGTTAAACTCACAGTCAAGTAGTGATAATGACGGATGGCTAATACACTTATTCTTATTTCTAGAAAGTTGATATGCTTCGGAAATTTCACGCGTGGTGTGAAGCGGATGCCGGAAAAGTACGGTTGTTTTTTTATACAATGATTGACACTTTCAGGAATTGCAATGCGAAGCTAAAACGGAAAAAGGACTATTTTTAAGTAACTCAAAAGCTCCCTGAGGCGTTTATACAAACATCGCCCGGTCTGGCCGATGTACATACGACCGCACGTTAGCAGTATGCTATACACCACTCCTAAAAACACTTAACAAATTGTGTTGCATGTTTCTGCAAACATCCTCTGCTTTTTGCGTACTCTGTGCCCTCTTATGCACCATGGCGCATATACAGTCCAATTTGTGGGTGCACAGAAAACAACGCGCCCACCAAACCGGTTCCCCACACTTTTCAGTCCATGCGCCAGTTTATGAATGTAAGGGATGACAGCCACGCATTTGTTTCCTTTATTGCATTCTGCAGAAACACATGCACGTTTATCACCGTTTCCCACCATCAGCAGAAGTCTCTCACACACCGATGCGATTAGATACGGCGGGTTCCCAGCCCCGAATAACCGTCCTAGCTGCGCTATGAAACCATAGTGCATTATGTGGATACAGCTTTTTTCGAGCACTGAACGAGGGCATGACACAATTCCTCATTTTATAAGCTTGGAATGGTCGGATGAGTAATTTAAAACAGGTTTCGTGGATGGAGTGTTATATTGCCAGAAAATATGATTGCCTCAGAAGAATAGAGAAAGGTCTAGAATTTGCAATTTTTGATTAGTCGAAACCTCCGAGGTAAACCCGAGGCCCATGGTCTCCATATCGAAGCATGCCAAAATATCGTCATAGTTCACTGCAGAGCAATATTTTACAAAAATCAGATAATCAGCAACGTATCTGAAGATTTTGGTTCCAGACGGTAGTTTATTGCTTAGGGCGGTGTCCACCTTTCCCAGGAAAATGTTGCTTAATGCAGAAGCCACACTGGAACCTATACACACACCCAATTTCTGCATTTACAGGTTTCCAAGCCATACGATGAAGGTCGACTTTAGGTAAAATGTCAAAATTTTTAAAAAGGACTCAGTTGACACTCCTGTACGATTCCTGAAAGATGGTTGTCATTGTCTTCCACAATGCACTGCTCAATGCAATTTAGCAACCGATCATGCGGCAAGGAATAATATAGGTCGACTACATTGACACTAAACGCTGTTACCTCTGAAAACTTACTGTTGTTTAAGTATTCAACCACAAAATCCCAGATTTTAATGTAGAAAGGGTCATTCACGTGCAACACAGGAGTGGGTCCGGTGGCGGCATGGCGAACTGCCGTTTCAAGCACGTCTGTTTCATCTTGCAGATTGCCGTTATCGCCGGCTGTCCGGATGTTCTGATGCATGGCCCTTCAAGCGACACACTGCGCAGGCTCCTACCACGATTCAGCGGCGATCGTACTGACGGCCATGTGCAATCTTCGACGGGGCGGGAATCTGCTGCTGCTGATGGTGTGCAGGATTTTCCGCCTGTTGACGTGATTTCGATCAACCATCTGTACTGTTCACGGCATGGTACAGTGGCGGCGCTGGCAGCGAGGATGCCCAAGGATATAAGAGCGGCAATGTGGAACCATCACTTCAGTGGGTCCGGTGGCGGCATGGCGAACTGCCGTTTCAAGCACGTCTGTTTCATCTTGCAGATTGCCGTTATCGCCGGCTGTCCGGATGTTCTGATGCATGGCCCTTCAAGCGACACACTGCGCAGGCTCCTACCACGATTCAGCGGCGATCGTACTGACGGCCATGTGCAATCTTCGACGGGGCGGGAATCTGCTGCTGCTGATGGTGTGCAGGATTTTCCGCCTGTTGACGTGATTTCGATCAACCATCTGTACTGTTCACGGCATGGTACAGTGGCGGCGCTGGCAGCGAGGATGCCCAAGGATATAAGAGCGGCAATGTGGAACCATCACTTCAGTGGGTCCGGTGGCGGCATGGCGAACTGCCGTTTCAAGCACGTCTGTTTCATCTTGCAGGTAACATACAATTACAAATGCTGCAGAAGTGATAACCGCTGTTTGCTGCTGCTACCGGACCCTCTGAACTTTACTGTCGTTGTGACACATCTGGTGCATTGCTTAAGAGTATCATTACTGTTACTTTGTGGCGACATAGAGACCAATCCCGGTCCCAAAGTTGATGAAATGTTGTCGCAACTACTGTCTGGACAAGCCCGTATCAGCCAGGAATTAGCTAGCCTATCTGAAACAGTTGCATCGTTTGAAAATCGTCTAATGAATGTTGAGGCAATGGCGGCGTCTGTGTCAAACATCATACCACGTGTAAGTGAACTGGAGCAGACCGTTGGTACGCTTCAAAAACTAGTTGGTAAGCTTGACCGTCAGAACGATGAGCTAGAAAACAGACTCCGTAAAAACAACCTGATAATTCATGGTTTGCATGAGACACCATCCGAGACGACTAACCATTTGCTTGAGTCTGTATTGGATCTGCTATCAGTTAAACTCGGTGTAAATTGTGACGACATAGAGCGTTGCCACAGGCTTGGAGCAGTAAGAAGAGATAAACCTCGGCCGGTAATCATTAAACTGATGGACTTCAGGTCAAAGATTGCCATCATGAGCAACGCCCGAAAACTTAAAGGAACTAAAGTTTATATAAATGAGGACTACTCTGCTCGGGTTCGACTGGCACGTAAAATGCTGTGGCAGAATTCGCAAAATATGCGCAAGAATGCTAGGAAAGTGAAGCTTAAACACGACACCCTCACAATTGACGGTGTTCGTTACAGGTGGGACACTGATAAAAAAGCCATTATCAAGGTTTCTACGCACTCGCTTTCAGCGGGGTCCGACTCTGCGAAATCGGCTTCTGTGCAAGCGCTTGGTATAAACTCAGCTTCATCCGCTTCTGTTTTCGCGAAGGCTGATTGACGTTGTGATCGGAATATAATTGTCCTCAACTTAAATGCGAGGAGTATACTAAATAAAATTGAAGCTCTGAACTGTTTAGTGGAATGCCACAGCCCATCAATTGTCTGCCTTACTGAGACCTGGCTAAATGATACTGTTATTGACAGCGAAATTTCGCCTGCTGGTTATGCGCTTCTTCGGAAAGACAGGCGTGTCGGACGTGGAGGCGGTGTGGCAGTTTTAATTAAATCTAATATTGAATTTTCTTTATTACCTGACCTTCCGGGTACAGAAACCATTTGGTGCAAAATATACATTAAAGGTATCGTAATAGTTATTGGTGTCCTCTACCGTCCTCCTAACTCCGATGATATTGTCCCTGCTATTAATGATTACCTTGTCAGTAACAAGTTGTACGATTGTAGGTTACTTTTGGCTGGAGATTTCAATCTCCCGCACGTTAACTGGAACTTACTTATCCCAACAGGGCGTGACAGGACACTTTGCGCTTCCCTGATCGATCTGGCGGTTTCTTTTGGGTTAACTCAAGTTGTAGATACCGAAACAC